TATGAACGTTAGATAGCTTTTCTACCTTTTTCATGCTTACGCTAGTCGATTATTGAAAAATAGTGGAAGCTGCAATGGTGATAACAGCAAAACAGACGCGGTAGAGGTAAAGGAATTGGTTGATCAACATGCAGAGAGCTAATTGCGACTCATTGCTTCTCTGATTTTGCCTCTTAATTTTCTTGAAAGAGTAGTTTAATGCAGGAAAACGTATGCACTTTGGATATATATATATATATATACTAAATGAAAAATTGAGAAGTTCATTAATTGCAGTATCAGCAAATGAACACGTATTCATAAACACAATGAGACAGGTATAGTAGACACCATGTAGAAACCCGCTAAACTTATTAAAAGCTATCTGTAGTCTACTGATTTAGGCAACTTTAGGACTGCGGAAAATGCATGTTGGGAGCGATGAATGTATTAAAAATACCGAAGAACGATAAAAACTGTGTTTATAAATTCACACATTTCCTCTCACACTACACACACACACACAAACAAACACATATATATATATATATATATATATATATATATATATGTAATAAATATATTTATTATTTTATTTATTTGTTCTTCATACCATACTTTGTAGAGTTGGCACGTACGGTCTCTCTGGCGAGTGTCTATGGTTAGCTACGAGGTGAACTTTCTTCGGCTTCGGAAGACAGGAAAATAGGCATATGCATTCGGTGGACGAACGTATCTCAAATTCACCGAAAAAGAAAAAAAATACTAATAGAAGCATCGGTAGAGCCTAGCATTTTCCTATAGATACGTGCGGACGGAAAAATGAAGGTGACAAAGAACCATCAGATGAAAATTCGGACCCTAATAATCTTCGACGCCAGCAGACATCGACCAGCAATGCATTTGTGAGAGATGAACGAAAAAATATTTGGGTTTCATCGACACAACGGCTGATAGGTGACGTACTATTATGATACACATACACGTGCTCTAAACCAACAGCCAACGACAAGAGACAGAATAATACGTTGAAAAATCAACACAAATTTACAAATAAAGTGTGAACAAACAAGACGATGGAACGAATAAATAAATCAATGACAGGGAAACGACGGTGTTTTCTATGGTAGACACGTATATACGTTCACACATACATACACATATAGGTATGAAACGATCGACTATGCCTTGCTTTGCCTTAAAGTAGATTATCAACGCCAATCGTTAGAGCTTACGTAGCAGATAGCGCCTGAATGCTTTAGTAATTAATAATATTCTAAGCTGCAAGTGTCCATATTGATTTAGTCCAATTCTTTAATCGGCCTCAGATGAGTAGTTAGAACAAGCTAGAAACAGAAACTTGACTAGTTTTTTTTTTTTTTTTTTATTTTCGTTATCATGGAATAGCGTCATTTCACACAGCCGATCGAGCATCTTTTTTAAAACAAACCGCTTTGACACTGGCGTATTAACGTGTTCGCATAGAACGGGGTACCATAGATAAGACAGATAATTATCGATACGCGGAATCGGTCATTTTTGTGCACAAAGTTTAAATAAGTCCGTTTTGTTCCATCCGAGGACAGATGCGGTTGCCGATGCACTTAATGAGCATGAATAAGTCAAACAGATTCTATCGGAAAATTAGATTGATGTGTTCGTCCTAGCGTAGCAGATTTATTCCAAAACAATCGTGAAAGCACTCCTTTTCACTACTATAATAAAATTCTGTGCGTTAGCAGAAGCCGAACACTACTATAAAAGGGCCTGAACAGGTCCTTGAATGCATCGGATAGACAGTTAGCTCGTCTGAAAGGAACTATTTGTAGAAAGATTCACATCTGGTGTTTAGTTATATCATATTTTCTTACGATGCTCGACAACGACGTCAACCGCGAGAAACAAAATCAGGCTCCACAATAAACGTATATTTTGTCCTATAGAATAAACCCAATTCTCTGGCTGCCAATGGCCTGCATGTTTTCAACACTTTTTTTTCATGTGAAATAGGGAAGCATCTGTTTTAAAGCTCATGAGTCTATACACGTATAAATGAGTACGACTCAATCGATTGAAATTGTTTTGCCAAATCTACACGTGCGTTGCACGCGCACATCTGCACGTCCAAAAATGCCGTTGTCTCTACTGGCACATAGAACGTGTGTACATTGCTTAGCAAATCTTCTGGCGCAGAATTCAATTTTTTTTTTTTTTCGTACGCTTTGTGGACGACATTTTTTTACTGTTTTTGCTTTGGACCTGTAATACATCGATGAAAAAAGTACGGTAATTGCAGGTTATTTTTTCCAACATTCAGTGATCGATCACGCGGTAGGGCGTCAATTAAATCAGCGACTTTCTAATTAGTGACTAATGTGCGAAAAATGCTAGTTAATACATTAGAAAATTTTTTGGAACAATTGGGTAGTATGAACGGACAAAGGAGAAAAATCGCCTATAAAAACTATGGTACTTCTAAAAGATACAACGAAGCGAGTGGCCGAAACAAGGAACATACGAACCTACGCAGCACAAAAGCGATAGATCTATTTGCTGCCGCGGTCTGCGACGAGCTAAATGGGGAAACGTTAAAGAGGTAAAATTGGCCTAGCAGTACGGCCGACGGACGATCAATCGGCACTCGAAATGACCGCACTTGATTGATTCGACTTTTGGGCAGTACCAGCAACCGTGAAGCATGCAGATGAAAGTGTTGTCTTCAACATTATGGAGCAACATGTGTGTGTACCAAACGGGCTACCATGGTGTAACGAAACCATATTAGGTTTGCTTGATTCAACGACAGTCTTCATTGACCTTTGTTAACGACTCTGCAATAATACACGCGTCTAATTTCTTCACTTTGATATATAAAGAAGTCCGAAATTAAATAGAAGCTTCTGTATCCAGAATTTTAGAACATGCTTATGGATAGAACAATTGCCGTTTCTTGGTCCGTTTCAAAGAGCTCTCATTGATGATCATTGTGAATGGTTCTGTACGAAAGACTTATTATTAACAACCGTAACCCAGTAAAATGAATGAAGCTAGTTGAAGGTATTAGCATTGGGAAAATCGAGTAGAAGAAGAAAAAAACGGAGCAAAGTTTTACTTACAGTTGATAGGGGTCTTTATACAACTGGTCTGTTGTTGTCTAAAGTATACTTACGAGACGCGCGCTAGCCTGGGCCGAAACCCACTGACCTCTCTCTGCTGGACGCGTAGTGTCATAGCTTATGGACGCCATCTTGCCATTGCTTTTTTGGCGGGCAGTTTGTCAGCGTTGCTTACTGCTCTATTGTTGCGTTTCCAATTGTGGAATTGAACGACGACAATGTGTCGAGGTCCGAGCCACTATGGCTTCCATACGCTTCATTATTGCCGTTTACCTCGTTGATCAGGAGACTGTCGTCGTAGCTCATAGCGCTTGACGTATACGTATCGATTTGTTTGTCGACAAACAATGCTCTCGTCGTGAGGTTCTATAGTCTGTGCTGAACGGCAAGCGTAACACTTGATTCGTAATGCAACCATGAGCCAGCTACGACAGCGGTAATGCATAGGGAAGCCAACACATGTGTCTTCTGCCCCCGCCGCCGGTCCTGCTATTTAGCGATCGTCTGCTCGAATCCATCAATAACATTTGTTTGTGTCGATAATGCTAAAATCTTAACAACCGCCGGCACAAATCGCCGCTGGCAAAGTGTGACGACAGTCTCTGGTGAACAAACGGCAGACACCGTCGACGACAGAGGAACAACACATGACAAAAGTCTGCGGTTTGATTTGAAAACGTGCAGAAAAGTCGAGTAGAGGACGACGAAAATCGAGGACGCTCATAACATATCCTTTTATGCTTGTTCCTTTTTTTTCTTTGGACTCAGCGACTTCGACGCGGATCTCTTTCTTCTCGCCATAACTGCAAATGAATTTCTGAGATTAAACTAGCAGAGGGAAATGCGCATTCGGAGATAGGTGTTCGTATCAATCCGTCTGCTACCCGGCCTAACAGCAGGCAACGAGGGCGAATAGTTAATAGTATAGAAAACAGCCATGAACCAATTCTATGGACAAACTCCATAAATTGAATGAGGCGAACAACGCCCGGGTACAGGTCGACAAATGCTTCCATAAATACATAACGTATTCTGGCTGTCTGAGCCGCCGAAAAAGCATACCAGTATACCTTTTGCTTTGGTATGGAATTTTGCTTAGGACGAACCAGCACCAATGGTGCTACAGCAAGCCTGCTGGCATTCAGTGGGTCGGGGCCGGGAAAGCTCACCCGAAGACATTCAAGTTAACATGCACACATTTCGACACACACTCACATGCTTACCCATATAAGCACTTCTCAGCGAAATGGACCTGAGAACACAGCAGACTCTCTGTGAACGAACAGCCGCGTTTGTCGCTACCGACATGGCCGCTGCTGCCAACAACGACAGTTGAAAACAACGTAGATGGCCAACGCGCGGCTTTCGCCGCAAACGATGGGACACCAACGGCGCATCTAATTCGGTTATTAATGGAGTCAACGCTAACCGGACGTTTAGCACGCCGATCACTGCTGGTCTTCGAAGTAGCATCGCTGACGTTGAGGACAAACACAAGACAAATGCGGGAGACAGGTCTACTATGGTTCTGTCCATATAGTAGCAAACATGAAGAAAGCCCTAGGTGGCATCGTCGTCCTCCCCGATTGCCGTATGCTCTGTGCCTAACTGTCGGCGGCCAATGCTCCGGTCTGCCGAGTAGACGTTAACAGCGATGAACGTCGATCGAGCCGCAACGCAATACTAAGATGCTACTCTACGGCACAGCAATGTTTAGTGAGCAGAGTAGCGGAATGGATCAAGCATAGGATGCCTTAGTCGAGGACTGGGTCGACCTCATCGTTTGATAGGTTGGCCTTTCCGAAGCCAAACCAGACGAGTGACTATTTGAAACAAAACTCCCGCTGAACTCCGCTGAACACATATTACTATTACACAGAAAGGCAGCATTGCTGCTGGCTACCTGATATATTTATATGTAGACACGAAAAACGGTGACGTTTCGGGGGCAACGCTCTGCTCGCCTCAGTTTACTTCTAAAGCCACTTTTCATCTTTGCCCGTCTTATTTTTAAGTAGCGCTCTATTAGGTGGCACGCCGCCGCTTAACGATTGGTTGTTTGGGTCGCTTTCATATCACTGTTTAGTTGCTGCCTCCTAAATATTGCCTATTTGCCCTTGTGCGTGCGACCCTCTTGGAGGAGCTCGATGCGTGCTAAGGATAATGGCAAACGAATGAATTGAGCTAAAGCACGATCGAAGTAGGCTTAGCAAGGACTAGTAGTAACAACCGTCGTAGATCGACAGCTCATAGATCGGCTCCGACATCACGGGTGCCATGAAAGAAAATCAGGAGTCGTTCGATTTAGTTATACAATTGACTGTAAGGATAAGCGGGTTCATAGCAGGATCACGGTTTGATAAGCTGGTCATGCGGAGTCAGCGTGGGATGCACGTGGCGAATATATCTCGCCGGAGGAACGTGGCAAAATGGCGTCGGCGTGGTGCTGGTTTGCCAATCATAAGTTACCAAACTGCTCGCACTGTAAATCCAGTGATATAAGTGGTACAACAGCGGAAGGTCAAACCTTGTCTTAGAGGTACGAGAGATTTCTAAGTCGAAAGTTAGGCAAAAACATAGGAAAGTATTGCTTACAGTTCAAGCAGTATACAACTGAACTATAGGGTAACTTGTTTTTAATTTGGAAGTTATTTTCCAGGTGGAGTCTTGACCGGTGTTGTCCTCTACTGTGTCCTTGCGCTTACCCCATCTAGTTGCATACGCGGCTTTGAAAAAGACATTATGTTCGGGGACGATTGTATACCTTTTTGTTGCACTTCGCCTCTGGCGGATTGAATCTACTTTATGACCCAATCCATAGATGGCCTTTCCACAAATCAGTCAGGATCAACTTGGTATAATAGTGATCAGTACCGCAATCTCAGTTGCATTTTTCGCTTTATTAGTTTTATACGTGTCGTAAAATCACGTGTTACAATGGGTGCCAGCGTTAAGAATCAGCGA